GCGCTTTGTTGCTGTGCTGGGGGTGCAACACCTGGCGAACGAAGAATGCCCACATCCTTCTGGCCCACCGATTGCCAGCTTGTTGATAAATGCCATGTTCAGTCGCACTCAAGAGCTGGCCAATGTAGACTTAAAGCCTCGCTATCCGTCATGGCCCCAAGCCTTCTCCGGTGCAAAACAGAAATACCTACCCCGGCCCTTGGAGTTAAATTCGTCGGCCTGCAGTGTATAGCCCATGAGGTAGTAGTTGGCTGCGTACCTGCCCACCCTGCATCATGACAACATTTCACATTCAAAGTGCTTGTGGTAGCCAACAACATGCCAAGCAAATGAAGCGCTGTGGAAAAACTGCTCCAGCGTTGTTGGCTCAAAGTGCAAAACCATCTCTTAATGACTGATGCAAAGGGTTTGCCGTGGTCATAGTCGCCCATGCTTCCAAATGAAATCAAAGTAACTCATGACAAGCACCGATTGAATCTTCTGAAAAACTAGTGGTCAATGCTTGGAGCAAGCTGAAACCAGTCTCAAATATTTCCACACTTCAACCCCAGTTTTCCCCAAATCTCGGAGGGCATTTCAACCGAACTGACCCAAAAGCACATGGCATGCGGTGGGGCACCAGCAGGCCAATGAGACGCACCTCCGAAAAGTCTGAGAACCGGGCAGGAGACAGGGCGTGCAGGCAGCCAGCTCAGGCTTAGAGTAGGGCTGGGGTCGTTATAGAGTGGATTTAGAATGGAATTTAGATTTGGGGGTTTCTCATGCTTTTTGCTAGGGTGAGTTGGGGTATGAACCGGGCTAGGCAAGCAGCTAACATCCGACACGCCCAGCAAAAGCAGAACTATCCGGGCGCGCGGATAACAAGCCCTGAGCTCCGCACTGGCCAATCCAAATTTCCATGCATGAGGACAATGCTACCACCTGGCGTCGCTTGCGCCACAGGACTTCTTACCTCAGTCACTCCTTGAAAACTGGGTGTCTGGAAATCAAACGGGCTGCACCTATTCATGTTGGGACTTGGACCCTATGCAGGTTTGCTTGGTTCTCTTGTCGCCAACAGTGCCAACAGGAACCTGCCCTGAGGCCCCAATCCTGCCATTGGCTGCCCTTTCCAAAATCCCAAGCTCTCCCCTCTTGGCTCGTGCTCTCTCATACAGATTCCCTTGCCGGCACGCGGGGCACGGAGCCATGAGCCACCAAATCATATCAAAGAATTGCCACCAGACCATCGAGCTACGTGGCAAGACATGCAGGAAAGGCCACCACCACGGCACAAGGAAGAAGCACCGCTTCCCAGAACCTGCAAGGTGCCGAAGGCGTGGGTTGCCTTTTACCCCCCATCCCCTCCAGCCAACTCTCCGTGCCGACCGAGCCCTTCCCACTCGACACCTGGTGCTGGCTACGTGGAAGGTTGGAACCTGGCAATGGCAAGATGATCATTCCATAGCCCTGCCATAGCCCTGACATAAACCAGTGCGAGCCCCAACAAATCAGCACACACACACTGCCCCCTTGCAACAAATATTCGCGAGAATCGGAATCGGTCACAAGTGATTCCATAATTCTGGCAATTCCTATACATGCCGACACATGCACCGGCACATAGCTGTTCCACAGATTGGACTTTGCAACGTTTGGCTAGTTGCGCAACATTCGGCCAAGGACCTCCTCAGATCGGCTGCACAGGAAGCGAAGCAACGAGGTGGACCTGGCTACGACGGCATGCTCAAATTGCCCCTCCTGAAAATTTAGTGGAGAAAGACATGGCCCTCGCTGAATGAATACCATGACATGCTCAAATTCCCCCTCCTGTGTGGAGAAAGACATGGCCCTTGGTGAATTATTTTGGCGCCCATGGATGCTGCCTTCAAATTTTCACGTTTGCAACCACCTCAGCCACGTATCCGTCCTGTCGAAAGACCAGCTCTCCCGGCCAACCTGGCGCTGCAACGGACTCGTTGCCATGGAAATGGCTCAGACTAACAGAAATATCCGTGGTGAGATGGAAGCGAACTTCAGAATCAGTCGGGCAGACATGAGGCATTGTTTTTGGAAGGCTGCAGGTGGCAGGGGGCTTGGCTTTCACTGTCCAGCGATTGAAGAAGGAGCATTCTTCCGAACAGGGTTTTAGCAAACATCACATTGACGAATGGTTTAATCAGAGAAATGCTTGTAAGAAAACTCTCCTAAACAGGGCCGTCTTGGCCCGGCTGTTGCTTGCCAACTCCTCTCCCGATCCAGAGAGCTGACTCTGACTGCACAAGCTCTAGATCTGCAAATAGCAATACAAAGAAAAGGTCTGGCAAGCAATGCTGGTCAAAGGCGATCCTCTTCGATGGCCGAGACATCCTCTTCCACGTCCATGTTTGCTGATCCAGGAATGCCTCGCTCAGAATTGGCCATTCACTGCTGAATAATTAGCCCTCGCGACTGGCCGATGCCAACTGAAAGGGACCCATAGCCGCAGATCTGAGCCATGGGCCCAAAACTGTACAAGCCTCGGCTGGGCAGATTGAAGTGGGATTCGAGTGTCGCCACGCCCCTTTGTTCACCAAGTTTGTTTGTCATCAAGATTGGACGTCTCCAGCTGACCAAAAGCCACGAACATATCCGCAGTAAACGTAGCTAGCCATGAACGAGATGGAAGCAAGCAATCTTGCAAATGCGTTTCCCCCCAAAATCTGAACAATCGCGTTGCTGGTGCATTCGATGCCAAGCCCTCCGGTCCACCCTCTGAAGTCTGAGCCTTCACCCGCCTCATGCTCGGGTCCCCACTGGGCGACTCCCGTGTGCTAGCGGAGCCTCGGGTGCGAGAGCATAAACTCAGGGCATCTGATCTACGGAATTGGCACATCGATCGTCTCCAATTTGCCATGCGACTGGGTGGGACGAGGTGAATAATGGCTGCTAGTAAAACCCGCTGCCTGAGCGGGCATATGTCCCAGTAGTGTCGGATGCAAACATGCTTAGCGCTGCATGTTCATGCAAAGATTGGTATGAGGACAGAATCGTTTTGTCTTGAGGAAACATATGCTTGTGGCAGCATCCAGGTTGAAGTCTTGTAAAACTGGTCCGCACCCTATTGACAGGGCAAGTCTTGCCACCGTGGCAATGCCCGAAAGGGACGAGAGAGAGCCGGCTGTGCATCAGTCCCTTGTTTTATGCGTGGCGTAGCTGTTCCAGCCAGAAAGTCAAGGAATAGTTCCGTGGCGCCTCACAAGCTTGGCAGGCAGTGCCATGATTGATTGAAGTAGAAATATATATGTATTAATATATTCATATATATGTAATACATATATGTATATATATATATATGCATTGTATGTGTATATATATATGTATATATATATATATACATGCGTGTGTGGAAGCTTGGGCCATCCAATCTCAAAAAAAACCTCATGTCAAGTACCGGTGTGTGCACTTGGTCAGGAAGATGAACTGAGGGTTGAAGTGCTTCATAATCATGATAGTATGGAGCTTCAAAAAATCCAAGTCGTCTCCACTCCCTAGCATTTGTTCCAACAAGCATCCAAGAGATCAACTGGGAATGCGACCGGCAGGATCCTCTACGCTACATTTCCCATTTTCGCGATTTTCGGGGTCGATTTAAAGTAAGTTGCCTTTTGCTGCGAGGATGCTTGAAGCGGAGAAACATAGGGAGCCTTGACCAGTCAAAAGGGGGGCGGCGATTTTCTGCGCAGCGTGCTGGGCACCCGGGCATTTCGACGTTGCGGCTGTGCCGTGGCTTCCTGAGCCGATCTGGACAGGCAAACGGGCTTCTTGAAAGGGAGAGGGCAAAACGAACCGTTCCTTTTGGCTTCTTTTAGAGCAACCCTGAAAAACGCATATGCTGAACAATAGGTTCAATCAATGAGCAAGCTCGGGAATGTTGTTGAGCACAGTCAGTGTCAAGAGTGCATGACATGGATGAAGACTCCGTGAGACCATCCTAGATTCTAGCACCAAATCATGCCAAGAGAGGGCACAACCAAAGCAAGCCGCAGGTCGGCAAAAGGTAGTACTGCTCTCGCCCCGTTTGTCTAGTGCTGTTGACTGAGTAGTATGCTTCCACCTTGCATATGGTTTCAATTCAATGGTGCACCCTTCGGTGAACACGATTTGGGCGAGAAGTTATGTCCACATTGAAATTCATTGCATCAGCCAATACCCACTCAAGTGACTCCAAGCATCCGCAGCGCGCTGTGCGGCGCAGGCTCCGCCCAAAGGAAGCCTGGAAGAAGCTACCGGGCAAGCTGTGCTCAAGCGAAGCTCGGCGAACGGAGCCTGAAGAGCTTCACGCCACAAAAGCTTGCGTGCTGAAAAGCCTTCAAGAGGGAAAGGTGTTTACTCATTGCTTGATAAATTCATGTAGTATGGCCCATGTGGCGCTAAGGACCATATCAGCCAGCTGTCCCGCTGTGGGCCAGGAAGGCGGCATAAGGCTTTCGGTCAAGTAGCTGAGGTCCGCTTGCTTCATTGGCGGACATGCAGGGTGCCTCATGTGTCGCCTTTCAACAAAAAGCCGCCTAAAAAGGGAAGTGCTGGGACCCCTCAAGCTGCAAGGCACACTCGGAACCAACAGCTTTGGGCTCAGAGTCCCGACCAAGCTTTCCGGCTGGTCGTTCTCAGGAAGAGGGTCGACCAACTTTGGGGATGTTCATGGATTTTGCTGCAGAAGAGGACCTTCCCATATTCCGCTTGAAGTAATTGCAAGCCTTCCAAAAAGGATGGCTGATGTGAATTGACCCTGAGCACCTGCAAAGCTGCTGCAAGCTTTGGTCCAGCGATTGCGTTGACAACTGCAACTGCAGTGCAATCGGCATCACTTTTGAATCTCCATGCAGGCGCGCAATGATGCAAGCACATTCTAGAAAATCAGCAACGAATTCAGCCAGGCAATGATCAATCTACAGCACAGCTGCTTACAAGAACTTCAAGCATGGACACAATTGCTTACTCTTGAGAATTGAATGAATCTTGCTGTCTTGCTGGCGTGAGTTCTGCATGCCTGTAACTGCACTGCTGGCTGCCACTAAAAAACTATCCGCGGTCCGTCACGATCCTGGCCGGTGAATGCTTTGTTCATCCCATCCCTGCACCTTCTTTGCATTGCCAGTGCTCTAACTACTAAGCATGTGTGGCCTTTCACGTCTTGTACACACAAGGCCCATTGCAAAAAAGCATACTGGAACATTGGCCACCCATTAGACCTGAACATTGACATACAACAGTGGCTGATTCAACGCAATTGGCAAGTGTGCGTTCAAACATGCATTTGTGTTCAGCCTGTCTTGCTGTATGTTCAAGCGCTGGACGTCAATGGCATGGCAGGCACAGTATCACCGGGCTTCGGAACTTGTTTATACTTGTGAGGCCAGGGACCTAAATGGCGATGATGGGGGGGAGCGTGTCACAACTCATCCGCATACAGCTGGTGATAATGATGCTGGTACAATGCCAGGTGCGCTCTAGCAGTGACTGGCAACAGAGTTCAAGCAAATCCAATCATGCTGATTCTATGTATCGAACACCTGCTCGCAACTAATTTCAAGACTGTTCAGCTCGGCGATCTGACGAACATGTGATCAACTACAAATATTCATTGGCACTGCAATCAAAACAATTGAGCTGCCATGCCTGAAGTGTCGAAATCAGTCGTGGAGAGCTGAAAGCCTGTGAGATGATGTTTGTTCTGAAGGAAGATGCAACAGGGAATTTTGTGAAAGCAAGAAGTAAGGGGATCTTCTGCAAAGATGGTCGTTGGAACCTTGAAGCGGGTTAAAGCCTGCATCCGGACCCTTCTGAGGCCACGCAAATGGACGGAGCAGTCTGAGGCAGCGGCAAATTCGAGGCCACATGGAAGGGGCCCTGGGCGATGTTAACTCGCCATCTTGCGCATGGAAGTAAACCTGATCAACCCTGCACTAATTTCTGCAATTGATGAGGATTAAGGGATCCCCTAGTGAGCTGGTTCTGTTTCCCGTAGGTGAGCTGCCCATACTTAGTGCAAACCAAGTGCATCGTGCTCCCTCGACGCAATGCTTTCTTTCCCTTTCATGCTCAAGCTCTGTGTTCTTAAATCACCACACACCGCCAGGTCAATCCAAATGTTTCAACGGGGGCAGTCGCAAATGCATCCCAAATGCGAGGGACTTGAACAAGTAGTAAGTGTCGCATGAAACCTAGAAAACACGCGGGTCAACAAGTGGACGTCACAAGCTGTGTAAGCTGTCAGCTGCAGCCAATACTTTGTCACAAGGAAGAGCAGCTCAAACAAGTATGTATAAACTGTCGAACATATGTCAATATCAATGTTGGCACGACGGTTGCCCGCTATGGGTCCAAATTGGTTGTTGTTCATGCAGCATGTTCTCTCGCTTTAGATTGTTGCCTTGTCATCCAAGCAAGAATCTGAACACCCTGAAAATCAATACCACCTGCATCTGCCACATTGCTGAGGCCTTGAATTGTACCAGTAAGTCTCAATGTGCAAGTGCAAGCAACCCCAAAGTTACTCTTTTCACCTCGATTTGAACTGAGCCCAAAAGGAAAACCGACAACCAGTTTGGGCGTCCCCCAATTTTGACACGTACCCATTGCTCGAACATTGATGATGCTGCACCCTGCGAATCTGGCCAAGCACCGAGCTGCGCTAAATGCTCAGCTTTCCCTCAGCTTTCCCTTAATTGAGGGCTTGGACTGGTAGTGTGGCGGATTGAAGCCCCTGTTCTTGTAGAGAGTAAATGGGACACCGCCCCCTAACTTGCAAACCACCAATCCAAAGCCACCACTTAGGGAAGCTGAAATGAGTTGGTTGCCAAACACAATCAAGGCATGTGTCAGAAATGAACAAAAATGCGGGGCTCGGCTTTCAGGACCCTGGGGTTCACCTGAATTCAGAGCCCAGGGCCCGGTTGAAGGTGCAACCAACTCTTCGGCCAAGGCCCAAACCCCCAGGTGACATCTGCCAGAGGGCTCAGAGGCTGCCGCCTAAGCTTGGAGCCTTACCAGCGAAAGGAGTTTAGGTGAAGTCCAGGCTCCGAACCGGGGGGGTTGTATGTGCGCGTGTTTGCGCTTCGAGAGACACAACAGGCGGCATCTTCTGAACAGTGAAACGAATTGGGATCTGACCAAAGACCCAAGTCAAGCACTGCAAGCGTTGCTTGGACCGAGACGTCTTTTCTCGGTGTGTTGTGGTTCAGGCCCTACCTACAATGAGTTGGCTTGCAGCCTGTTCGCTTCTTGGCAATTTTGGCAGCTTCTCTTGACCAGCGGAGAGTTTTGTGTGCATGCCTGAGTGTTTCGCTCCAGAGTATGAACAACTTGGTGGAGCACTTGCAGTTTCTGACTCACACACTGGAACTGCGCACTAGGACACCCTCCTCACGCAGCTGCAAAGCGATCAATGTTTCCCAGCTTCACAGTCTCATGCAATGCACAGGTGGGCAAGTCCTCCAATCCATGCCATACCAACAAGACAAGTTTGGTTTGACTCCGCATTCTGTGAATCAGCAAGGGGTTCGGAGTCCCTAGCCCGCCTTGGCCATGAGGCCATGGGAGCCGGCACCTGATCGTCTTTGCCCCATGTTGGTCTCCGTTTGAGCAAACTCACATGAACTTCACCAGGCTTCTCTCAATCATATCCTTGTTATGAGCCCCCCCAAAAGGGGCCCCCCAAGCCTAGTAGGGGCTAATAGCTTCAAATAGGACTTTAGTAGCGACTGCTAGCTCCTATAGGGGTTGGAGTATGAAAGCCTGTTTTGCATGAATTTGAATCATACTTCGCTGTGGGTACAGTCCAATGAGCGCCACCATTTACACTTGACTTCTTGCTACGGCCGCGCTTGTCTTGGTACATTCAGGATCAGCTGTAGAAAAAGGGGCAACTTCCCCGCATTGAGGCGGCATCAAGCACTCGATATGGCGGCGGCAAGTCTGCTCAGCCAACCAAAGGCCAAAAAATCTCGAACATTGCCGCAATGTTGACTCAAATTGAGGCAACCGGGCCTGCAGCCTTGGTTTCAGCAGCAGTTTACTCTTGGGCAAGGTCTTGGCCTTTTGCGGGCTACACGATTCTTTGGTGGCCAGTCAGCACTCGGACAGCGATAACACCTTGTCGGAGCTGACTGTAGTCTTTCACCTTCACACTTCATGATGAATGTGAGCCTGAACAAAGGTGCCTGTTTCCCCCTACCAATCACGAGGTGGGTTGGGCTAGGGGGCTCTCTTTGGGGGGCTCATAACAAGGATATGAACAACGCGTGGCCTAATGGAGAACATTACAAATACGCTCACAATTGCATGACACCGTTGTGTGGATGTAAACATACATGAGCATCACCTCTTGCTGTGGCCAAGTGCATACCATATTGATTTCACTAGTATGGTATATGTAAAGCTTAAGTCATGCTGATCGCTGCTCTAAACGAGGTGACGAATTGGGAAGAATACCTCAGCACAAATTACACGCCTTCCTGGCATGGGAATCAATTCACTTGAGGACGGAATTCACAAACTCACAAATAGTTTTAGAATGTGTTGGATACTCAGAACAAGGCACACGAATGGCACTCAACAAATGCAAGAAGATCGAACAAATAAAGGCTAGACCTACTTGCGGAGTTAGGATGTCCTTCCCCCACAAAGCTAAACCCGAGACTCGCGAGCACACCTCTGGTGGCGGCGCTGGGCGCAGCTTGGAGATGTCCCTGTGGGGCTCACCCGGGGTTTCCACGCGTTTGACGCATTTTGCGTTAAACCGCTTCCACTCGCGTTGTGAGCTGTAATACTGTTTATATGATTAGGCTTTGCAAAAACTGAAGCAAGCAAACTTGAATGTAAGTCGGGCCGACCATGTCGTGTTTACATGTGGCCAATCTTTGTCACCGTAAGTCAAGATGGCACATTGTTGAATTGTTCACCAGGCATGTGAAGGCCATGAAGCATGCCAGTCATCGCGTGGCAGCTGACAAATCAAACGAATCTCTGAGCCGAGCCTGGGTAATGGCCCAGCTTGAGACTTTGGCCTGGGCAGTTGTCCCACACGCGCGCTTGTGCTGGCTACTCGCGTGTTCTGGGATCTGGGGTCCCAGCGAGCCCTCCACGCGGTGAAATGGTCAAGTAAAACTCACGTTGGCCACCCGCGCGCGAGGTAAAACGCAGAAGCATGAAACAATGCTAAACATCAAAGCATTTCCGCGGGCAAAGCGGCAAGAGTGAAGTGAACAGGCGCACCTGGCGCAAATAAAATGGTAAAAGTAAAATGGCCCGAGTTGCGTGGTAGGAGGGATAAAGGCAAAGTGAGACAGGGCCTCCTGGCACACAGCCAACACGAAACAAGACTTTCTAGTGTCAGCGCCCGCAAACTTTTTCGCTTGGACATGTGCAGGTCACGCGCGCGCGTTGTCAAATTTCAACGGTCTCAGGCCTGGTAACATTCAAATCGGAGCAAGCTATGTGGGAAATTAAGCCAGCTTTCGCCTCCTCCAGGACGCGAATGGCTTTGCTTGCCCAGGGTCTCGCAGGAAGCCCCTTTCCAAGGGACCTGGTTGAAGAAGCAGGCAGCCCCTGAGATTCAGCGTTAAGCGCACATCGCTGGGCAAACAATGTCAAATCAGTTCTTCCTACAGCGAAACCCTTCGTTCGTGTGGGATTTTGTACGTTTGTCGTTTGGGGAGCCCAGCAGTATTCCGCGTTTCTCACATCAACGCGCCGAGGCAGCAGGCCTTACGCGCAGCTTGCGCAACACATGCGACCCCTGGCGCAAAGCCTGCTGTTTGCTTAACTCACCTAGGCACGTCTGGCGGCTCCCGTGATGGTTGGAAGAGCGAGCGCCCCAATCCAGACCCACTATCTGCAATGCACTCCACTAACCAGCTTAGCAACAAGCCACACAGCTGCTGTTTGAGACATGTGGGACCTTGGGCAAGGCTCGGTCTCATTGGCTTGAATACACTCTATTCACGGGCTCTGTGGATGAACCCCTTTTGGTGCAGTTCTGAATCCAAGGGACACCGCGTTTCACGGGTGCCCCGGTACAATTTCCGGGCCGCTGGCGCACTCTTGGGGGGCGCCCCCGAGTGCGGCCGTTTTGCTGCCAGTGGCAAAGGGCCCTGCGCAAAACCAGCGCTCACTCCAGGTCGCAATCCCCCCGGCATTGGGCGACATGTGTTTAAACCACACCATGGGCCCTGTGGGGAAAACGAAAGAAACAGCCATTGAGTAAACTGTTTACCCATTGGCCCGACCCTGTTGCCAAATGTGGTTGTTCTATCTTTGGTTGGTTTGTCTCAGGCCCAAAGGCATGCCCAAAGGGATCAAAAACTAGTATTCTGGACTCATTCCCAACAAGTCCAACAGGACATGCGACGCCATGCACCATCAAGCGGTGACAAACCCTAGTCAGCGAGTGGAACAAGCGTTGCCTAAACTGAACACTGCACAAGAACAAATGACTGACGAGTCGGGCAATCGACTAACTGACAAATCAATCAATTAACCAACTAACTAACTGCGTATTTGTAGCTAAGCAGCCAATTAGTCAAGCTGCTACAACAGATTGTAGGTAGCTGCAGGCAGCTGTAAGTAGCTATGAGAGCTGTGAGTAGCTGCAAATAACTCTAACCGGCAGCAAGCCATAGCGAGCTGCTATCAGCCTCAAGCCCAGTTTCCCTCACTTCGCCTGCTGCAGCCACTGGTGCGCATCAAAGCCGTGCATGAACTCATCGGCCTAACAGTAAATTACTGGCAATGTCACGAGGCAATCTCGGGGGGCCAGACCCCGATGTGGGTACTCGACAACCCTTTTGAAGGGGAATCAAAGGAAAACCACCCAACTTCAGGGCGCGGCTCTTTTGCGACTAGCAGCGGAATCTCCTGTACAGAACATCCGTACTTCATCCCCAAGTCTGTCAGCACACGTTCTGGCAGGTCAAGCAGTGTGCATGGTCTGTTCCAACATACAGGCTTGACAACCCTAATAAAACTAGGTAGAACCACCTCCCTTCGGTCAAACTCCAGGCCTCCTTCATCTCTTGCCGCTGCAAGGCCCGGATCTCTTCCAGATCCTGTTTCTGCAGTGCCTCTGCCCGGCACCTGTTGGGCTGTGGGGTGCCCGGGGTGGCAGGACAACTTCTGCTCGAACCCCTCCCTTTCCCCCAACCTCCGGTTGGATGCTCCGAACAAAAACCCTCTGGCTGAAGGTTGACGAAGCGCTTGTGCATATCGATTTGCGCATGACTTCGATGCGCACTTTGTTGGGCAAGGTTGTTAGCTAGGCACTAGTCCATGTTGCCTGGGTGCAATGGGGGTAACTATAGTGCCTTCCACACCCTCGGGCACTTTGGGGATGGGCATGGGGGATGCCCGAAGCGCCACCACCCTTATGCCAAGCAAGCAAGAGACCCTGACACGACATGCCTGCCTTCATACAACTTAAGCCTGCGCGCATGCTTCACATATTGACTAAACATAACTGTTGTACTGTGACATGTCCATTGCATGCACTCATTGAGCGTGTGTTGTTTGTAGCCACATACTCAACTCACTTTGTTTGCGCATCACCTGTACCTTCATCGTGCATATTCTGTGTTTAGGTTCAGCGAACATGCCCGGCAGTTTTGTGTTGAGCTTGTGCGCCCACCTGATCGTAGTCAGTGTGCAGCCCGCTGCAACGTGTTCGCGCTCAACACAGCTCTCTTTTTGGTCATCATGAGTATCATGAGTGTAATGTGGGGCTATGGCTTATGTGCACCCCTTCTTACACAGTTACTCTGTAAATAGTTGCTCATGGCCCTTCATCCCCATTGTCCAGTCATGTTGCACCTCAGGATCATATGTTTTGCTCAAGAAGCAGATATTGATGCGCGCATAGCACAGGTTCCCCATGTGTCTAGCCCATTCCTTGTGCGTGCCGCTAGGATTCATACACTTCGCCTTGGTGCTGCGTGGCGTTTTCCCAGGCCTCAGTCGATAGGCCACCCGAAGCTGAAGATCGTTCACATCATCCTGCGCCGGAATATACGAAGATCCCAACTCGCTTCAACTGAGCATTGAAAGTCGAAGTGGGGATTCAGTCAGTGGACAGCCCTTGGACGACTTGGTGTGAATCAGTTTCTTGCAAGACTGATCATGTAGACCAACCACTTCAGGATAGGATGGGCAACCTTGTCAAGAAAACCTAGCTCCTTCCAGGAGCGAAACTCATAGCTGCCTAACTCAAAAGAAAGATCTACCATCTCAGCTGCCTATCTAGCAGCCCGAGGGTTGGAGAGAGTACGCGTCTCAGCTATGCCAATACAGTCTATGAGGAGAAGCTTGACTTCCAACTGCGCCAAACAATGAATGTTCCTGCGCTTTTCGAAGTGCAAACCACCTCCACTGCCAGTCCAAAGATTCGAGGGTGGACTTCCGGCTGTCCTGTACTCCCACCGGACACAGCGCATCCCACGCGAAGATGTTAGGAGTGTAGCAGCCTGGCACAGGCCAGCAATGACCCAAGGCAAGCGGCCTGGAAGCTTCTCTTGCGAAACTTGCCCCGGAAAGCTCCCAAAGATGCGCCAAAAATATGCGATCGTCGCAGGTTGCATTGGCCTTGCCGAAACAGGAAGCCACTTCATAGCACTGACATCTTGATTGATCCGCTGCCTGGCTTGCCACATGTGCTGTAAGTGAGCCTTTGCTTTGCTCCAAGGTCCGAGCGGTTCAGCAGCTTGATGTCCGACTCACAGGAGGCTGCGAAGATCGAGGGAAGCCGGCGGCGCTCCTTGGGCTCGGTTCGGGATGGACCAGGAGTATTGTGTGTAGCGCATAGCACCAAGGGAACGACGCCGGGCACGCCATGGTAACTCCCAGAGGTCGGACAGTCCAAAGTGGTGTGTATGCCCATTTGAAGCAATTGATTACCTGACCTACAGTTGTCTATCTGAAATCAGATGTTTGCATGAGGGCGGGTTGTGATTTGGTCCCAAAAGTTGGGCGACATGACGCGGGAGTCGGGCGTCTCGAAGTGGCAATTCAGGCGGCGTGGAGTGCCAATTGGCGCGCAAGTGGAAGCGGATAAATCAAGCACTTGCGCAATCAAGCACACGCAAATGGCCCCAACCAAGCAACGTCACCAAACCCGGCCAAGACAACAAAACCAACCAACACGAACAAACCCAGCAAACCCAGCTACCCGGCAAACCGACCAACATGACCAGCGCGACCAAAGCAAACCAAACCAAACCAAACCAACGAATCCGATCAAACGGGGCATAGGAAGGACTGTTGGGCAAGAAATGAAACCTGAAACCAACGTTCAACCAACCGTAAACCAATGCTAAACCAACCCTAAATCAACCCGAACCCACCCCTAAAACCCGCCTGACCCTAAACCAACCCGAAACCGTCCCTAAACCCGCCGAAAACCCGCCAAGCGAATCTCAGCCGAACAACTGTTCGGGGGTGGGTCAGACTTGGTGCACGCGCAGGCAAGAGAAGACCTTGGGTAGGAGGAGAAGCAGCTGCGCAACTCTTTCATCCCTCAAAGAAGGTTTGAGGCAACCTAGTAGATGCTTCATAGGTTGAAAAGGGGCTCTTTCACATGGAAGAAAAGGGAAACCTCATACTTGGGGGTTCTTCTTGGAGACACACCCATAGGATTCTTGGTGGCAATCTGGCCCGCTCCTGCGTCTTTGCCTCCGGCGCCCTTTCCTGCGTTGGTTCTGGTGCAGGCCCTTCAGCCGGCATTTCCAGCCTCCGGACCGAAGCCGCAAGTTGAGCTTGCTTTCTTTCCGTCTACCCACAAACAAACACACAAAGAGAGACTCACAGGAGAAAAGACTCGAAAAGAACAGTGAAACTGGCTGACAAGCTGCACATCACTTGCAGGATGGACCCCCGCCACTCACCACCTGACTTTCGCAAATTGCGCGCCAAAAGGACTTCGTGGCAGCGCCAAGCGCGCGCCAAATGAGCTGGCGCCATCTCGGCCCCCCCGCCGGGCCACGGAGCCTCTGAGCTCGCGCAACGCGCATTCCAGGTCGTGCCAGTCCTAGGCTCCAAGAGCTAACGGCGAAGTGTTCTCCAAGCAATCTGCAAACCGAACGCCGTGCACACATCCACCAATAGTGCGTGTCTCACGTGTCAAAATCACATTCATCGTCAAATCATCAGTTTCTCTTTCGCTGCCAAGTGATCTTGCTTTGCGGGCTTGAGATGTGTTGCGTCTTGCTTGCTCACGAGTGTTTGTTGTGGGTGGTTCTGTTGGGAACGGAAACTGCACAAGGGATAGATGAAACAGAAAACGGGCAGCTGCTGGAACAAGCGGACAGCAAGCCAAAAAATGGGCGGCGTACTTGGCTCGGAAAGGCACTTTGTGACAATGACATGACTTGGCATGCTTCACCACATTGTTATCGAAGATATTGAAAACGGCAGGGCATGACATCCCGCAACATTCACGGAAAACCAGAGAGGGAGAGAGAGAGAGAGAGATAGAGAGAGAGAGAGAGAATCATTCTCAATCCAATTTTTGAGTTGCTAGTCAACAGAAAGACACGATAACAATGCCTGCCTTCTGGTGTCAGCAAGATAACGTCACCTGGTGGAAGGCCGGAATCAGGAAATCAAACATGCAATCATCCTAGGTGCCCATGAATGGCACGAGCATACTGGGACACTTTAAAGAGCACACGTTTGGCCAGGCATGCGATGTCTTGGAATAAACCGTTTTTGTGTTTAGGTAAAACCAAACTCAGCTGACATAGGCCGACTCATCCGTCCTTGACCTCGCTCTCAGGCTCTGCCGGCTCTGCCACAGCTGCCATAGCCACGATGCCCTACCTTCGAAGAGCAATCTACACCTTGTGGATTGACGGCTCCATTTTGCCAGTCGAATGACACCACAGGTCAACCAGTGATTCGTCTGTCGGTGTTGTTTCCTCGTTCTCCATTGGCACAAGCATGTCATGGTTCCTTGGCCTTGTGCACGTGAGCCAAGTCTCAAGGCACATTCAGCATGTGCATCAAAACACTCCCAAGTTTCCGGAAAGGAAGCAGTCAACTGAGTATGATCCTGTGGTAAATGAGTCTGAGCTTTGATCTAATGGCCCGCCATTCTCGGCGCAAATGTCTGTTGCGCAGGCTGATTTGGCTGGCACATTTCACTGGAAAGTGCTTTCGCGCTACGCTTATTCCACTACGCTGTTCCTAGTGATATGCTGCATGTCTATGACATCAAGCAAATATATTATGCTGGTGATGGAGGGTTCTCCTGTCAGAAGCATTGGTTAAGGCTATGCCGACTACATGCGACCATCTAGGTGTGAAGCTCAGCACAAATCTCGTCACGGGCCGTGAAGTGCTTCGATTGGGGAAGGTCAGCTTCAGCAACTCAACAATTGGCAACCGAAAACTCTGTCAGAAGCAGAGGACATTCATCCCTGCAGTTGACAAGTTGAACGGGATTCCTGAGGACGGTATTGTATGGTATTACTCCATGATGGATTTCGGGCATCCCTGAATAATGCGAACTGGATCACGGCAAATTGCAGTTGCTTCATGCATAGCCGACTCAGCACCCATGGCAATCCTTTGGCGTCTTGCCCGGGTCTAAAGAGAGATGCTGCTTGGTCTGTGTCCGATTGGGTCATGGTAGGCTTCTCAGCGCATTCGGGCGCCGTGAGACGGTTTTTTTCGGTTTTTCTGCAGGACTGGTCTGGCAGTCTATCGAGGCGGTTGCCTCGGCGCCAATCGCTGAGCTTGAGCTCCTACATCAACTTTGCGCATTTGGTACACAGATTCGTGGATTGGAGACACATGAAACATGATGTTGCTGTCTTTGAAATGCTTGACCACCTGCTAGCAGTGCCACCTTACACACCCAGAGTTGATAGCCAGTTCGGCTTGTGGGCGATATACTGTCAGGCTCACCTCAGTCTTGAGAAGCCTAGAAAGACATGAACATCGTTGAGCCACCTACGAAGCTGCAACATTTTTCATTGTGTTAGATTGGGTGATGCAGTTCAATCCTCAAACAACGCTTTTCCGCTTGCCAGCTGCTTTTCTGGGTTCCCCCAATGGGGACTCCGACGCGGTCAACTCAATGCTCAGGTCAGCAGGGAGAGCCGGGCTTACTCAATGCCAGCGTCACAACACCTGGGCGCTTTGCCCCACCAAAGGAACGGACTCCAAGAGATGGACAAGCAGTGGGCCAGGGTCACCCCGGCCCGTCGCGTTTTGGCAAAGAAATTGATGACTTCAACAAGGAATTAGCATAATACTGCTTCAGGGCGCTACGGCTCAAATGAGAAAAGTACATCGTCATTGCACTTGCATCATGGTTGATTGCAAAGTCAGTTGCTTAACGGTGCTGTCAATGGTTTATCTACCTACAATGACGTCTGCTTGATGTACGGCATGCATCCGCGAAGTGCATCGCCCAGGCTTGTCACCAAGCTTGACTATTTATCAGACATGGCATGGATCTTAGATCTTAGACCAAGTGAAGTGGCTTAACCGTATCAAGCTGTCCATGCGGGTGGAAAAAGGTTGTTGAAGCGGAATCAAATGCTTCTAGTTTGCCGTTTGGATCCTCAAAAAGCTGGTCTAATTGCACCACACATTATTGGAACTTTTGCCCAGAGTGTGAGGTAGCATTGCAGGCCCCTTCTCGAAATGGACCTGTCAAAAAAAGAAGTTTGTGTTTCGAAACCAAAGCTGTCGAGGGATACAGCCCAAATATGGCCATACAACACCCCCCCTGTTTCAGGGAAACATGCTGCACGGCGAGCGCCTCAACCCAGTTCTCTCCAAGCCCTACGGTAGTCAATGTTCAATTGCCATGACATGTCACGAAATTGTAAATTGTTGTGCAATGCCACTTCCTGAGCATGTGACAGGAATCATAAAACAAATCAGCCGTGGCAACGCTTTCATGCTACCAACCAGGACCAATTCCCTGCTGCAAAGCTGAAGATCTCGTGTTGCAACTTGCGAGGAGCATTTGCGAGTGTACAATATGGCAAGCCATGTCAAAGTCTACATGCAAACTGAACAGCGGGCGCTGGTACCTCAACCGGCTTGGTTGAGAAGTGTCTGGCCGGCGCACAGGCTTCAAAAGAAAAGGGGCAATTCAATATTCAAAACCTGGTCAGACCTTCAAACACAACATGCCCTCGTCAAATTTCGATTGAGGCCGGCACCCTGGTGAGCCGCAAGGCATCAATCCATTCTTCGGCCCTGGTGGATGCTGCTAACTCCGGAGCTTTTGCCTCACATCCTGTAGGCAAATCCGCGGGCCACGGGCCCTGAGGCTGGACAGGATTCCGATCAAGTTGCATCAAAACAACGCGACGGACGCAGCTAGCAGGACTGCTGAAACCAGGCTGTGGTCTATCCATCTTGTACACAGCTAACAGCCCCGTTTGCTTCACTAACTGGTGCCATCCAGCCAGTCAGGACCCTCTGGCAGCCAAACTCCTGCACTCAGGCTCAAACAAAACCACTGTCACTAACGTTGCCCCTCATTACTGGCTGCTGCTGCAAGGACGGTCGTGCATGTTACATCTGATAACTCCTCATACCCGATGTATTGCTCCAAATAATACACTCCATGAAAGCATGTTCAAACATAGTTGTACCAAGCAACTGACCCACGGACAATCTGTGACGTTCCCCAAAAGGACATGGGAAGATTGTGTTGTGTCCCTGCTTGTTGTGGGATATTCAGGTTGTCACCCACCCAACCAATACCAAGACCGCATGATTCGGATATTGGCCTGAGCACGGCCAAGAAACGGCGCTTTGGCACGACCCCCAGTGGGGTGCCTGTACCTGGCCCTCGGAGTTGGCAGTTGGCAATCTCTGAAGAGCGGCCCCCGTTCGGAAACCCGCTCTCAGAATGCGAGTTTTGGACACGGCACAGGGAACTCGACAAGGAGTGTGACACGAGTCACGTAGCCGCTCCTTGTCTGCAGGTCAAAAGTGCCCAGGGATCGAGTGGGTCCGTCCGCCCCTTTGGGTGGCAACCAGCTGCGCGCAAAATCCTCTGTTCGCCAGCACCAGGCACTTTTGCGAACCCACCAAGACTTTCAAAAGTGAAAGTCCTGCCTTGAAAGTCCAAAAGCTTTGCTCTGACAGTCCGAAGGACAGAAAACTACAGATGTCTACTGTGCAGCGTCCAAGTTTTCCGTTCGACATTGTGCATGAACTTCTGCCTTTCGGAAAGCCAAACCCCATGTCCTGCTCAAGACCAAGCTGTGGAAGGTCTTCGATCAAACATTTTCAGGTGCTGGCCTTCGACTCAGCACTGAGAATGGACACGCACAAGAAAAAGGCTGCGCCCTGGAAACGTTGCGCACATCCGAAAGGAAAATTGGGTGTCGAACACGCAAGAGGTGAAACAGTCCGGATGAATCTGGGAGAGCCAACGCTCGCGCTGTGTGCCATGTTTTTTTGATCTTCTATGGCCCAGATGTGAACGGCCCAAGTGGCCGAAGAAGAGAAAGCAGACTTGCCAAGCGTGTGCCGAAACTGGAGACAAGAAACAAAAGCTAAAAAGGCTGAGTGTGGTGTTTCATAATCTTGCATTTGTGTTTCGCCTGCGTGCCACAGCCCTCACTCCATTTCCGAGGTTGAGGGCTCTTTCGACTCTCCCAAGCCATCCGTGAGGCTTAACGCTTGCCATCCAGGAAGAGGGTCCCGCAAGTGGCAAACCTCAAGAGTATCCCCGAGACCAGCCAATCGGTCAGCTTGCTCCCCAGTATCCAGAAAAAAAGCCTACCATGCAACGACATTGCCCTTTGTCAACGGTGTATGAGAGCTCCGAGAGTCTGCAACAATGGTCAAGCAAACAGAGGCGGCAGTGCATTAAGCAGAAACTCACACAAGCCAATGCAAGCAAGTGGGAGGAATGTTTTTGCCAGTGTTTGGGTCGTGTCTGCGGACCTGAGCCGCTGTGGGAATCTCAGACAGGCTTGTTGTGTTCTTGTCCCGCGCTGGAATTCGGGGCGCTTCCTAGCACTGGTTACTGTCAATGCGTTTCACAATCCAGGGTAACAGGGCATCGCAAACTGATTGTCCACATGATCACTGATCAATGGCAAGTTTGAGCATTGGCTGGTTGCTGCTCAACAAAAATGCTTGGGTTCCCCTGTCAACTTCGCTTGGAATTGGTGCCTTTGAGCGCAATAAGCTTGGATGTCGAATCAGAAGTGGCTTCAAATCCTTATTTGGGCAACGGCCCAAGTGGCTCCAGTCTTGCGATGCCCTGGTCCAGTAAAAAGGCTAAAGAATGCGGCAACATGGCGCATGCCAAAACCTTGCTCAGTGGCGTTCAGCTTGCTGAATGTGTTCTCAAAATCTGGCGGCCTGTAGCTCGAAACTGGAAGAAGGATAGATGGAAATGCGCCCTCAGGAATCTACCAACTTGGGCACAGTTCAGGCCGCTCAGGGCTTCGTGGCTATTTGCGGAACGCCCAGGCTCTCAACGAGGAGAATCGTGGGTGTGTTTGTTTGGATTGGAAGGGAAACCAGAGGGGCATCAACCTTTTGAGGGTGACCAGGCCATGAAGAAATCGCGAGGAAAGGATGCCTCGCAAGGAGGTCGTGCTTGTTGCCCCAGTGAGCCATTGAACATTGTAAATCTATCCAGTTCTCTGCATTCAGACCAAAGCACTTGGCACGCTCCATGCCCACCGAAGTCGCTACATCGGGCATCACTGAGGCACCACGAGGGTGCCTGACTTGCAGAAGCCTGGCGCAGTCACTTGGAGCTCACACCTAAAACCGTTCCGACTCAAGCCTATGGGGTCCGTGAAAAGAACATTCAGCCTTGTGGTGTTAGCCAGGCAAGTCGG